GCCTTAATTCGTCCCTTGTGATAGCAAAAGTATGCTTCGCATAGACAAGATAATGGGCGGAAGACCCAGAATAACTCATCTAGATTCTGTATCTGAAGTCTCTTTAGTCATTACTCGTTCAAGCAGTGAGATAATGGTACCCAACTAAACGCGGAAAGTTTACTTGTTTTTGAGCATAAAATGTCGAGAAAACAAGCTTTTGGAATTATTAAAGTTGGAAGACCTAAAGAAAAGAATTCTTTAATAGAGACTTGCTTTAAATCTTTCATTTATAATATTGCTTTTGAGATAATGGGGACCAAAGAACAAACTAGTACTTTTTTAACTTTTAATCGCTAATAAATGCAATAGAAGAGCGTAAATCTTGCTATTTTTGGCTACAGCATGATAGTGGTATAACAGCTAATTTCTTTGAAGTATCATATGGCACTGCAATCACTACTATGCCAGTGCTATAGGTGAAAATCAGTGCTGCAGAGATGGAGAGAGTAAGTCTGGCCAGGGGTAACTAGCTTAAGTTGCTAGGCAACCTAATAATCTCAATGGAATAATCCACCCACGCAACGGAAGTTTCCTATCCCTTTCATTTACTCTACTATCTATGGTGTGGCTCAATCAATATGCTCCACCCGCACACACAGTAATGGTGGCACATGGCCCTAAGTGGTGAAGAAAGCTTTAGTTTTTCTCGATTTTTAAACAGTTTAGCATACATTTGTTAGGCTCTATTTGTTGCATACAAATGTATTTTGAGCCCCTGATGTTTAAAGACTCTGGCCGCTACTTCGGGAGAAGAGAGCCTCGTGTAAACTCACAAAAGTATGAAATTTTGGGCTACCATATCTTTAAAACGAAGATGATTGGAGCAATTCCTCTCATATTAATGAAAGATGAGGCTTTGCTTTATTGTTTTATCTGCCCAGTTGCTCTTTTGCTCTCACTATGAAAAAGTTGTCGGGGAACCGACCTACGTTTGGTGACTTTGCCAGCTTCTTACTCCACGGAAAAGAAAAATATAGCATTCCCAAGACGGCGAATAACTTTTTCAAGAGCCAGTATTGATTATAAGACTCTCGAGGACTAGACAAGAAAGCAGTGTCAGCTCAAAAGTGGAGGCCAAGCGAACACACACACACACACACACAGACAGACAGGACGACTGCTTTACCCTCGCTTCCACGCCTACGCGTGGGCTCGGGTAATGACAACCCAACTGCATAGTACCCGCCTACGCAAGCGTGGCGAGTCCAATTATGATTATTAGCAACCGTAACCTGCAAAACATAATAGCATACCATACATACCTCACCTGACATATCCACACACTGCACTCACTTAATGTATAGCAATGTACATTGCAGCTTGTGTTATCATAAATAATTTTAGCATCAGGCAAATAAACAATAACAAGCAAATGAAAAACAATAACAATATAAGAATAATAAACAAAAGACAGAGACAGTATTAATGGCAGTATAATGCGAACATTTATCACAAGTAGTAGCTAATGGATTAGCTATGCTAATCTTAGCAGTGGCTATTATCACCAAAAATCAGCAACAATTCCAGTTCCAGGACATAGCATTAACTATTAACTGTCAATATTATTATTCAAACACACTCGTGGGATAAAACACACAAACCACCACAGAAAGTGGTGAACACATAATCAAATAGTCATATATAACACACAATAAAATAATCATCTGTCAAATTGTGAGTACATAGCTATGTCATCATCTGAAATTGGACAAGGACCATATCTAGCTACTTTACAATATTCATCCTTATTCTCTTCTGATACTGTGGGTGGGGTTGATTGGAAACTGTTGTCCGTACTGTAGTGAGAAGGTGGTATTGACCCAAGACCATGTACTAAAAAATTAAAAAAGATTGAGTAGGATTCAATGGACCTTTTGCACTTAAGCGATTCTAATTAACGCGCACCCAAAGTGGTGGTAAAATGGCGGATTTTTGGAGGAAAGACAGGCTGAAGAATCTTCTCTTTTATCCAGCCATTCTAGCTGTAGGAGCCACTTTGAGCTGTCCTTTTGTTTCAGTATACTCTATTTATCTCTTCTGTAAGCTCTTTGGTTGCTGTTTTGGCTTTTATAGCATTTTATCATAGGAACATTCTCACCCATTGGCAATTCCCGTTTTTCTAAATTTTGCTTTCAGGAGCCAAGGCGCTTGCCCCTCCATTGCCATGAAGACAGAAGTGTATTCAGCTGAGTCCTATGACTAGTGTCTATCATCAGAGTTAGTCTCAGTCCATCAGAACCAGGTACGGTGGAATAACTCACTCAGTTGTCATGTTGCAGCTGGAGTGTGGATGATTATGACCATCTTTTCACTTCTTAAAACTATAGGTTGGCTCTTTTATAGATAGTTGAGGCATGCAAGAGCTCATTCTTTATCTGTACATTCACTGGTTGTATTGTATGAGCACCTTGTCGTATTAATACCCCGTGTCGCTATCCAATACTTGCAGAGAGGAATCGTCACATTCAGGACTCGTTCATGGCTCTAAGCCATTTGTATCCTCTCCCAACAGTTTTACTTATTATTTAAATTATAAAAAACATTATGGGTGTTGTTGCTAGAACTATTATTGTTGTTATCACTAGGTCACTATATTGCATTTGTATAGACGACTATTTATGTATTTACTCATACTTTATGATATTAACAGTATATACACAATAATTAGAAACTATTTTAACGATAACAAAGATAATTATTGTAATTGACATCAATTTTTATCATAAATAAAATATTAAAATCATGTAACGATGGAAGTGTTTTACTTCATACTGGACGTTACTATTAATAGCTAGTTACATGATGCTGAGCTATTCCAGCACACTTATGTTTCTTGGAATGCTTCTTACATGTGATTAAAGACCAATCCTATGGTTTTAAGAAGTGAAAAGATGCTCATAATCATCTACACTCCAGCTGCAACATGACAACTGAGTGAGTTATTCCACCGTACCTGGTTCTGATGGACTGAGACTAACTCTGATGATAGACACTAGTCATAGGACTCAGCTGA